CCCCAAAACCCCAAAACCCCAAAACCCCACGCCTCTGAATAAATATTGAAAATAAAATAAAGTTATAATAACAAAATGGAAAATATGCCCAAACCTATCGAAGTAAAGAACATCCTGAAAATGAGGTACCCAGGAGCTGAGTTTTAGATTGCTCTTAAATTTTATCACCTAATTTGTGACTAACTTCCAAAAATTTTATGTTTGAATCAAAATTTATCAACCTCTATAATAATTAAATTGAAATTTTCTTGGCAGAAAAGTTCCTACCTAAATTAAAAAATTATCAGCCTTATCTCTCCAAAATCCATTCGATATCTCGATAGATTTCATATTCTTCTAAATACTTAAGCTTCAGACGTATCGATATTCCAATTATCACTCTTTCGTGAATCCAACCGAAACTTTCTGGTGGATTCTGACTTTGATCCCCTCTTCGTCCATCTCTAATTGTGCAGTCTAGAGAAGTCTATTCTGGAAGAAACCAAGGAACAAGATATCACCAGATGCCACAGCATTCGTTATAAGATTGATCCAGGAAAAAGAGAAATTAAGCCATTGGATTCAGACTCTAAAAAAGTTCCAAAAAATAGTCAACTTTGGTTTCAGTTCAGCTTCCTTAGAGATATGAAACTTGCTAAAAATTTAAAGCATCTCAAGTTCTTTGATATAAATAGGATTACTTTTTATAGTGGTGATTCTAAAAATAGGCATATTGTAGATTTCTTAGAATCCTCATTCCCAGATAAAACTAATCGTCTCTTTTTTCGCTCCAATAATATAATGGATCTGAATAGGTCTAATTACTTAAACCAACTGATCAATCTTAGTTCTAAAGTTGCCCAACTAGTTGCTTTTGATAATTTCCGCATTGGCTTGCCCCAGATGAAGAGGCTGGTGGCAGCTTACAAGCATGTCAGAGCTTTGAGATTGGGTTATTGCAAGTTATCTATTCCAAGTGTTCCTGATCTTTCAAAAGCTCTTACAAATTGCCAAATCCAGGAAATAAATTTAGGAGGATCAGGAAACTTTGACAGAAGTGACTGGGAGAATAACTTCGACCAGTTTAAGAACTTAGTTCAAGGGTTAGCAAGTTCTCCAGATTCAAGGTTGAGTATCAAAAAGGTATACATCTCTAGATGTGGAGTAAGTCAATATGAAGCTGAACAAATCTTTGATGAAAACCAATTTGGAGATGTTAAAATAATCGATGGATAATAAATTTTGGTAATTTTTTTAATTTTTGCTCCATTGACTAAATGGTGTCATTTCGATATATTTAACACTTGGTGATTTTTAATATATTTTAGGGTTTCGATTAAACTGGGGTTTTGGGGTTTTGGGGTTTTGGGG